TGCAAATATATTTTCTTCAAGCAGGAGGCATGGACCAAAATTGAACCACAGTAAAAGGAAAGCAACTCATCCAACGAGGAAAAATGTAATGTATAAATTTGCATTAAAGCATTGTTTCTCAAAGTGTAGTCTCCAGAACACTAGTTCCACAGGATATTAGTGGGTCTTAAGCAAATAAGGGTTTCATGGCAAATAGTTTTGAGAAATTTGAAATTAACAAAGATTAATTTTTTAAAATGCTTTAGTATGCATGAGTCCTTAATACCATACTGTGTAACACCACACTATGAACTGCAGCACTCCCAAAATTATTTAACACAGTGATTTTATTTTCATGCCTATCTCACACACTTGGTTCATGAATTATCCTCTGGGATTATGCATTGGCCTAGAATTTCACCAGCTTCAGATCAAAGACAGACAACACGTAGGAAAGTGTGCCGAAAGGAGAAAAAGAAAATAGTAAATTTGATATGTGCAAAACTTAAGGTGACTATAAGGAAGTTTGTGGTCAGTGTCTTAACTCTCTTCTGCATTTGAAAGATTAGTGATACAACACATTAAAGTTTCAAAATGGCAGTCCTATGGGGGTAAGATTCAACCATGCTGGAAACATCACCAGCCCACAAAATCATTGCCAGATTTCTCCCACGTCACGGCAGTAACGCTACTTCTGAGAATGAGAAACGACCCTCCAAGAAGTTTAGTACTCCTGTCCTGCCAGGTTTCCAATTTTTACTAACACTTTTCTTTGTGCACAACCTGTATTAATTCACATGGATGTTTTAGGCTCATTATTGCTATTAGTCATGGGATCACAGATACACATGGTACTTTAAAGAAGTTAGAGGAAGCCTGTATTTAGTACAAGCTGTGAATTAAAGCTGAATCTTGTAACTCGCAGCTAGACAAACTCGTCCCAAAGAATGCTTGAGAAAAGTGGAATTCCACAGAGTGGTTTGTTTTGGATAATGGCACAGTAAACAGAACGGCGGAAACCAGGTCAGGAGGAATGGACGGATGTTTCTTCAAGACAGGTCCTTGCTGCATTTGCTCTATCTCATGCACAGGAGGATGTGCCTACTCCTGGCAGCTCAATTCACATTTCAGAAATGCTGCTATCCATGGACTTAGAGCATGTTGGGCAAGGCCACTTGCAGACATGAAGGAGCGGGGGCTTCAGGCAACCTGGAATGATTATATGGAATTCTATGCCCTCTTGCTCGGGATACAGTGTTTGTGGTGAGAATAAACCTTTCATCAGCTTAGGAAGGGTTGTGGCTCTCAGTCTTTTAGCATTTAGGGGCCAAGGGTGGGAAATGGTTCATCCCAGAAGCAGCTCTTGGTTTTCAGTAGATGTTCTATTTTCTTTCTAATGTTTTCCAGCTGAGTCAATTTCAGACAGATGGAGGTCAAATGATTTACTCTGACGCCCAGTGAAACAGAGCAGCTGGGACTTGAACTTGGGGACTTGACTGGTGGGCAGCCCCCAGCCTAGTCAGTCAACTGCTCTCCTCCTAGGTTTTTACCGCCTCTCTGGTTGCACCCTGAAGGCAGCCTGCTGTGTCTGGCAGGGCCCATCTCCTGGGCCGTGTCTGCTCATGACTGCAATAAGAGGCCTGTGACAGGTCAAGTCTGAATGTTCTGGCAGAGCGGCGCAGGGCAGACTGCTCCACGCTGCTCAAAGCACACAGCGTCTGGTGAAAGCCAGATTGAAGATAGCTAAATGCGCATGCCAAGATTCCAAAAGGAAAAACTTAGCTCACAATTTTCCTTTGCATGATTTTTCATCCTCTCCTTTTTCTTTTTGTAAAAAGGGAATCCCTGTGTTTACAAGTTGAAATCCAAAATGCACAAGTGGTCAGTTCACAATTCTGTGGCCCATGAACATCTGTGGGCCTGGGTGTTCCTCGGGAATCTGCAGTGCTCAGAGCAGTGAGCCAAGCCTGCCCTGGCAGACGGGAACTCTCCAGTGAGTCAAACAGTCCTGCGAGTGCCCGGGGTCTGCTTCTCCTCTGGTTCTGCTTTCCTGGGACATGTCTGTACTTGACTTCCACTAGTTTTATGAACTGCATTTTGACTGTATTTTTGGAGGTGGGTCCATCTGAAACTCATTACAGGAAGTAGAACAAGAATCTTCATTTTGCCTTTAAGAGAAATAAAACTCTGTAATCTGAGATGGGCAAACATGCTCCAAGTCTGTTTACCAAGGAACAAGAACCTCTCTGTGTCCTTTGAGCAGACAGAAAAATCAAGAATAAAATATTATTTGGGATTTGTCTCTGAGGACTTAAGTGACTGAAAACCAATAGGGCCTCCCCTCCCTCTGTAGAAAGGTGAGTTCCATAGTCCCGGCTCCCAGGAGAGCCCCATGGGGAGGCTGCTCCAGTGTGGCAGGTGGCAGTGGGTGTGGCTGAAAGTGCCTCATGGCTTTCAATCTGGATCCCAGGTCGGTGGATGGGCTTTGGCTGTATCACCTTTTTAAAGTTTTAATTTGGTAGCCGCTCAAAAGTTAAGGGAACCCGCAATGGGCAAAGTTAGCATGTGACAAGGTCTCCTCTTTGGACCTTGGTTTTCCTTGTCTGTAAAATGAGGGAACGGACCAGATCACTGCTCCAGAGCCCCAGTGCAACTCTAGGAGTCTGTACTTTGAGGCCTGCTTCTCTCCTGTTGGAATTCAGTTCCTCCACCCTAACTTTTCTGCTGTCGTCTGGGTGTTACGGGCTGGATTGCGTGTGCCCCACACATTCATATAGTAAAGTCTTAACCAAGTATCTCAGAATGTGACCATTTTTGGAAATAGGATCTGTATTCATCTGTTTTTACACTGCTAATAAAGACATACCCAAGACTGGGTAATTAATAAAGGAAAGAGGTTTAATTGACTCACTGTTCAGCATGGCTGGAGAGGCCTCAGGAAACTGACAATCATGGCAGAAGGGGAAACAAACACGTCCTTCTTCACATGGTGGCAGCAGCAAGGAGAAGTGCTGAGCAAAAGGGGGAAGCCCCTTATAAAACCATCAGATCTCATGAGAACTCACTATCACGAGAACAACAGCATGGGGGTAACCACCCCCATGATTCAATTACCCTTCACCGGGTCCCTTTCATGACATGTGGGGATTATGGGAACTACAAGTCAAGATGAGATTTGGGTGGGGACACAGCCAAATCGTAGTAGGGTCTTAAATGAAGTCATCAGGTTAAAATGAGGTCATTAGAGTGAGCCCTAATCCAATATGATTGCGGTCCTTAGAAGAAAAGATCAAGACACAGACAGGCACAGGGGGAGGACACAGGGAGAAGGTGCCTTCTGCAAGCCCAGGAGAGAGGCCTCAGGAGGAACCAACCCTGCCAGCACTTCGATCTCGGACTTCCAGCCTCCAGAACGATGGGACAATACATTTCTGTTGTTTAAGGCAACCAGTCCATAGCACTTTGTTATGGTAGGCCTAGAAGACTAACACTGCATGATATCACAATGAATGTGCTGGGCTGTGAAAGAAGTTCTGTGTGTTTTTCTTAACAGATTTGGATTTTTGGTTTTAGCTTAAAACAGACTTTTCTGTAGCAGGATATTTAAAACATTATGTTTATTTATTTTTTACAGGTTTCTTTATCATCTGATGTGAAATAAGCCATGTTAGTAAAATAACTCCTCTTTATCTTTACTTGAAGGGGATTTCACAATTTTGACCCAGAGGGCTATTTTAGCTATGGATTGTCATCCCGCCTTTTTTTTTTTTTTTTTTGACAGAGTCTCGCTCTGTCCCCCAGGCTGGAGTACAGTGGCATGATCTCAGCCCACTGCAGCCTCTGCCTCCTAGGTTCAAGCAATTCTCCTGCCTCAGCCTACTGAGTGGCTGAGACTACAGGCGCGCGCCACCACATCTGGCTAATTTTTTGTATTTTTAGTAGCGACAGGTTTTCACTGTGTTAGCCAGGACAGTCTCGATCTCTGGACCTCGTGATCCACACGCCTTGGCCTCCCAAAGTGCTGGGATTACAGGCATGAGCCACCGCACCCGGCTGTCATCCTGCTTTTTAAGAAATACTGTCATTATCTATAAAGTTCATTTATGGCCAAATAGCTTATTGGATAAACCTGCAGGTGATGGCACATGTATAAAGAACTTCAGACCACACAAGCAACCCCAGATATGGCATGGTCCAGTTTTTGTTTAGTACTTTTGGTTCTAAAGTTCATTGAGTCTAACATCATTTGATTGAGTTACAGAAGGACAAACAAAATGATGGAGAAGGGTCACCACTTATCACCTGCTGTTTAAGATTCACATATTCTTACTTGAAATAAAGCATGCTATTACCAAAGTGGATTTCTCTTTCCTTTAGTATCAGCATTCTGATTCTTTTATAGAATAGTCACATATAATTGGAATACACAGTCACATCAGAGACACAGGAGGCACAGAGTTTGTTTCTCTTTGTAAGCTCCATTTGACCACAGCAGTGAAGTTTCCGAAGAAGGGTGTTTGGATCAAGACTGCTCACTTGAGAGGTTAGAGTGGTCCAGGTTTTGAGGCGCTACATGTCTGGGAAACAGATCATCATAGACACTGAGAATTGGGGCATATCCTTCCTTTCCTACCTGACTGTAGACATGCCCCGTAGATGCTGGATGACAGAGACGGACAATTCAGATGTAGCACCTCGACACAAAACCAACCGTGGAAATACCAATAAAATCAGCTGTTTAGTTTTTAAAATACGCAGCAACATGAGTAAATGCCTGGTTCATTTTATCAGCCCCCTTTTTTTGCTGTCATATAATTACAAGAATGGAAATTGATATACTTTTTAAAATACAGCTTTTCAAAATCCCGTCTTGAGTAAAAAAGCTTGGCCAATTAAGAAGGCTGAGGGGAGGAACTGCAGGCACTTTTATTTCCAGCTGTCAACAGGATGGAAAAAATATGTCAACTTATTTATATTTATTTATTTATATGCATGATGAATAAGTTAAGGAACGCTTCATCTCAAACACAGATTGCTTTTATTTTAGCTAAGTTAATGTTTCAGTTCCATATATATTTTTGAATTTCCATCAATGTCAAACACCATTTTTTTCTTCTTAAAAAAAAAAAGATTTACAAGCACTTTTACGGCACTCAAGAAAGTAGGCTGAAGGTTCATAATAATAATTTTCCTTTTAAAAAACATCCATCAGACCAAAATAAAATCATTTTAATTAACTCCTTCCTGAGTAACTAAAACCTTGGAATGTGCTGAAAGGTTATAATAAATAAGACAGTCAAAGATCAACTAGCTTAAAAGGTATTTTTTTAAATTAAACTATGTAAAATGTACAATATGTTTCATGAAGTACAAACTGTTGGGCCCAGGGCCAAAAAAAATGTTGTCACATTTGCCAAATAAACTGATGAAGTACCTTGACTTTTAGGACCTAGAGGGTGTTGGTTGGGACAAAATAACATTAGGACCCTGTAAGTAAATCCATCACCATTTTTTGTTGTGAAGTTATAATGATCACTGCTGAAAATAAATGCCTTTGAACACACAGGTAACAGTACCCAGGTAAACTTGCAGTAAGAGGATGAATGTTTTTGAACGACCAATTGTCTCAATGTTCTGACAAGAGCAGAGAAAACACAGCCAACTCAAATTTATTTTCAGATTGCGAGATTGCACAGTGTGTAAACTAATCATCATTCTTTATATGGAATTTCATAGAAATGACTCACAGAGTACCAGGCAGCAGTTCTTGTACTGGTTTTGAATATGATAGCTGTTCTCCAGGTTGCTTTTGAAAGTATGCCTAATGGTAGGGCCCTGGTCTCTCTGAACAGGACAAAGGATATTTCCTCCTCTAAGAACATTTCCCTTAATTGCTTCTCTGCCCCCATCCTCTGAGGCAGAAAGAAGGCCCATGAGCGGCCAAGTGGTGGACTCCGTGCCTCTGTGGTCCCTGCCCTCCCTGGACTCCTGTGGGCTGGAGCCTTCTTAACACACATCTCATGATAAAGTAGCTTTAGTGCTCACTCGGCACGTTCCAAATGACTTGCTTTACATCTTGGCTACCGTCCAATTTTAGTGAAGGAAGAAAAAATTCTAGAGAGACTTGGTGGTTTATGAAAAGTAGAAAATGTGTAGCTTGTGTAAAGTCAGAGTCTTATTTACTATTAACTACTCCCAACTCACACATTTGCTAGGGCTGGCTCTAGGGGACAAATATGAAATAGACAAAATTTGTTGCAAGTATCCTTCCTTCTGCCACCACTGAACCTCGGCTTCTCAGCTAGCTGTTTATCGTCTCCCCAGGAGAATGTGCATTTTCAGGATTTCTTTAAGGTGAAAATATTTCAGAACTCAAAGGAACAGATTTCTAATGACTGAACCAAGGCATCGTTGATAGGTGGCAGGGGAGGGGCAGTGGGAGGGGGCAAGAAGACATACCTTAGGACAGTGAGACTGCCCAACATCTAGTTACATTACATTGGAGGCAGCCACTTACTTACAAAGCTGGCCAAGCAGTCTCTGCCCCAAAAGCTCTTGCTGCTTCTATTTTGATGTCTCAAGTAAGAGTTGAGGTGTGCTCAGGAGCACACAGGTCCCATAAGAAAGGGGACTCTACCTGCACAGAACTCAGGTAGTTCTCGGGTAGCTCTGTCACCTGCACAGAACTCAGGACCCCTTTTTACTGAAAACAGGTACCTCTTAGGGGACTAGAAGTTACAATAGTACATAGTACCGGGTCCTATAGGACCCAACTTGGCCAGGGGTGTGTTTGATAGATTACACACCATCTGTGGTCAGGCTCGGAACTTCTGCTGTGGGAGTCAAATGCCTGAGCTAAATTGGTTCCTGGAACTTCCATTTAAAGCAATGTTGGGAGAAGATGTTTCATATTGGGTGCAAAGGATACAGCCATGCCCTTTCCCTGATGCCACATGACCTTCAGATTTATCTGTCTTGTTTACATTCTTCCTTAGACAGCAAACAGATTATTTTCCCTGCTAGACTACTTTGATATCTGTCAGCATGGTGCTTCGAAATGGAATGTTTCAATGGAGCTGGTCATGCATTTTGACCTTGAAAGGTACTCCAGGCTGGGGATTGGTTGGGGACGTGGCACAAGCTGACTTGCTCTTCCAGAGATAACGACACTGCTCTTGGTGAAAGTGCCCCCTGAGAAGGACGAGAGGCAGAACTCTACCCATGCAGGTAGAAACCACTTACCCAGGGAGATCCTCCTCCTTTAAAAAAAAAAAAAATTTAATTGAGACAGAGTCTCACTCTGTCATCCAGGCTGGAGTGCAGTGGTGTGATCACAGCTCACTGCCACCTCAAACTCCTGGGCTCAAGTGATCCTCCCACCTTGGCTTCGTATTACAGGCTTGAGCCATGGCACCTGGCTCCATCCTCCCTTTTGATGTCCTAATCTGTCTTACCTTCTCTTAGATCCTTCCAGAGGGGATTCCCTGGTCTCTGAAGTGGTTTGTATTTCTACTGAAATATACAAGTCTGGATGTCTCCTACCATTGAGGTAATATTTTTATAAGTCATTTTACAAATGATAAGTTATTAGGCTAGGGGCTATATTTCTCCCCCTTTTCCCATCATATGGGGTAGGGGGAAAGCTGTTTTATGACAAGATGCCTTGGGATGGAGCCATCTAGTGTACCTGGGAAAGACCCAAAGAGCCAAGAGAAAACACAGAATAAAATTAAACAAATAAAACCCGCAAAACCGGGCATCTCCCAATGACCCCAACATGTGGGAATGTTTTGTTCTTTTTAATGCACCCAAGCATTAATTTAGTCCCTTAAGGATTTTACTTCCCCAAAACAAAGAACTTTATGGAAAAGGGAGATAAAGCCATGGAGGCAACACAGTCACATCACCTCTTATAAATATCTTCTAGCCACTTTTCATCATCCTGTTCTTCATCGTCGATTGGCTCCTCAGTTTCCAGTGGAGTTGGGATAAAGAAGTGTGGCCTCAGGGGGGGCTTGCTGACGTGAGACTTAAGTCCAAACTTGCGCTTCAGCAGGTGGAACTGCTCTTTGACGTAGTGGTAAAACTCGTACTCGTATCTCATCCGCTGGTAGAGGATCTGCACGGCCTCGGGAGAGGGGACAGTCTTCTTCACCGTCACAGTCATGTTTCCAAGCTTCCTGTGCTCTGGAAGAGAATCGGGGGTGCACATGAACCATCATTTGCAATGCTTTAGCTTAGGAGGGATCCCCGCGAGGACCCACATTACCTGTACAACTCTGGTAGCACCTAACGAAGCAACAGCATATCCAAGTATTAGAAGGGAAGAACGGTTCCTGACAATATTTGGAAAGACTCACCAACTCTAAGCATTAATGTCAACGTGAGTTGACGAAGCACAAGCTATCTAATTTCCTTTCATCGGATGTGAACCATGCAATTGGACCAAATTCAATTGTTAACTCTGAGTTCTACATTCTTTTGAACAGCAGAATCTACCCATTTTCCCTCTTTTATTTCTTGTTACACCAGAAAAGGGTTTTACCCTCAGAAGGAGGCATGGAAGAGCTGTCTAACTACTTTCTAATAATCTTGTTTTTGTAAGTTTCCAAATACTGACATAAAGTTTAATTTGATACAAAATCCATTTCCATTTTACTATTTCAACAATGCATTTGTCCAGAAAAGGAAAGGAAGGGCTGCCAGATTTCTTAAGTATAATTTACACATTTTTAAAATTTATTTGTATTTTTTGTAGAGACAAGGTCTCACTAAAACTGTTGCCCAGGCTGGTCTCGGCATCAAGAGATCCTTCTGCCTTGGCATCCCAAAGTGCTGGGATTATAGGCATGAGCCACTGCACCCAGTCTAAATATAATTTTAACTGTTAAACATTTTAAATTTTTTATTGTGGTAAAATATGTATAACTAAAATGTGCTTAATTTTATGCTAATGCTTAATAACAAAATATGATATTTTATATTCATTGCTGAATAGCATGAAAATGTTATATATAGAGTGTACAATTTTAACTGTTTTTAAGTATACACTTCAGTGGCATTATTTATATTTACGGTGTTGTGCAACCATCACCACTATTTTAAAAATCCTTTCATGAGTCTATACAAAAACTTGATATCCATTAAACAATAACTCCCAATTCCTTTCCTTTCCTTACCCCACCCTACTTACCCCATCAATTAGATAGAACCTCTAATCCATGTTCTATCTTTATGAATTTGCTTATTCTCAGTACTTCATATACGTGGAATCATACAATATTTGTCCTTTTTTTGTCTAGCTTGTTTCACTAAGCATGTTTTCAAGGTTCATCCATGTTGTAGTGTGGATCAGAACTTCATTCCTTTTTTTTTGAGACAGAGTTTCGCTCTTGTTGCCCAGGCTGGAGTGCAATGGCGTGATCTCGGCTCACCGCAACCTCTGCCTCCCAGGTTCAAGTGATTCTCCTGCCTCAGCCTCCCGAGTAGCTGAGATTACAGCCATGCGCCACCACGCCAGGCTAATTTTGTATTTTCAGTAGAGATGGGGTTTCTCCATGTTGGTCAGGCTGGTCTTGAACTCCCGCCCTCAGGTGATCCGCCCACCTTGGCCTCCCAAAGTGCTGGGATTACAGGTGTGAGCCACCCGCACCCAGCCCAGAACTTCATTCCTTTTAAGGTTGAGTTACATTCCATTGTATAGATAAAATGCAATTTGTTTATCCTTTCATCCATGGAGAGACACTTGGGTTGTTTCCATCTTTTGTTTATTATAATGAACACTTGCATTCTAGTATCTGAGTCCCTGCTTCCACTTATTTTGGGTATATATATACCTAGGAGCAGAATTGCTGGGTCATGCAGTAATTCTAAGTTTAACATTTTGAAGGACTGCCAAACTATTTTCCACAGTGTTTGCACCATTTTACATTCCTACCAGCAATGTGCGAAGGTTCCAATTTCTCCAAATTCTCTCTTACAATTGTTATTTTCCTGCCTTTTAAAAATTGTGGCCATCCACGTAAGTGAGAAGTAGTATCTCATTGTGGTTTTGATTTGCATTTCCTTAATGACTCCTGATAGTGATGCTGATGCTAATGGTTTCCCTAATTTCTAGCGACCTTTTCATGTGCTTTTTGACAAGCATGTGCCCAACAAATGCTGTTTGTTAGTATATCTTCTTTACAGAAATGTCTATTCAAGTCCTTTGCCCATTTTTGAAGTGGGGTTTTTTTTTTGTTTGCTTTTGTTTGTTTTTATTGTTGAGTTGAAGGAGTTATTTATATATTTTCGATAATCTGCACATATATCAAGTATATAATTTACAAATATTTTCTTCCATTCCATAGGCTGTCTTTTCACATGTTGATAGTGTTCTTTGATGCACAAAAGTTTGTAATTTTAATGAAGACCATTTTAGCCATTTTTCTCATATTGCCTGACTTTTGGTGTCATGTTAAAAAAAAAAAATTGCCAAATCCAAGGTTGACACATAGAAGTTTTCAATTGTAATGGAGACCATTTTATCTATTTTCCTCTTATTGCCTGTCTTTTGGTGTCATATTAAAGAAGCCATTGCCAAATCCAAGGGCATGAAGATTTGCCCTCATGTTTTCTTTTATAATCTTGTTTTTGACTAAAATTTCTGTCACCAAATTTGAATAGGTATATAATTTACTAAATATAGTTCCAAATGGCTATTTCCAAAATCAGACTCATTTAAAAAGACACAGACTTCCCATTTTTTAGGATATTTGAGATACCTTCTGAAGCCTCCAGTAGCAATTCTAAAGAAGGAATTTGAGAAATTCTCTATGTAGAGGCTAAGAAGGGTAATGGGGGATTAGAGGACAGGTGGGGATGATTTATAGGTACAAAAAAATAGAAAAATGAATAAGACCTATTATTTGATAGCACAACAGGGTGACTATAGTCAACAATAATTTAATTGTACATTTAAAAATAACTAAAAGAGTCAGGTACAGTGGCTTATGCCTGTAATCCCAGCACTTTGGGAGGCCGAGGCAGGTGGATCACAAGGTCAAGAGATGGAGACCATCCTGGCCAACATGGTGAAACCCCGTCTCTACTAAAAATATAAATAGCTGGGCATGGTGGTGTGCACCTGTAATCCCACCTACTCGGGAGACTGAGGCAGGAGAATTGCTTGAACCCAAGAGGCAGAGGTTGCAGTGAGCTGAGATTGCACCACTGCACTCCAGCCTGGTGACAGAGCGAGACTCTGTCTAAAATTAATCATAATCATAATCATAATAAAATAACTAAAAGAGCATAACTGGGTTGTTTGCAATGCAAAGGATAAATGCTTGAGGGGATGGATACCCCATTCTCCATAATGAGATTATTATGCATTGCATGACTGTATCAAAACATCTCATGTACCCCATTAGGTATTAATTAAAATAAAAAATAAATAAATTCTCTGTGTGGCCAACAGCCTCATTGAATAAGGGTATTACTTTTCAAACTGACTCTTTTGAAAGTCCTTTGCCAGGTTGGGTCCTTTGTACAGGGAAGCCTAGATCCTTGCAAATAGATAACATGGTCTTCATTAAAAATTAAAAACATAACACACATTGAACATTCTAGAATTTCTGTTAAAGAACTTGGCATAGACTCTTCTGAAATGGGTGCCTAACAGAACATTTTATAATATCTGTCTTCTCTGAAGATATGAACTCTAGCTGATCTGGGGTGGGTCATTGTTCACAGGTGTTAGGTGTTCCTTTGTGTTTTTTAAAACAGAGTTAAAAAATCTTATGAAAGACAGAAAAGAAACAGAGTTTTAACTTAAACATTGAGAGGCAGAGGAAAAATAATTCTCTCATTGAAAGCCTCCTTCAATCCCTTCTTCTGAGAGCACTATACATTGTGTAGGGTTTTGTTATCTGATACACAAAAAAGTAAGACTCCTGTGATTTAAAATAAATTCATTAAATTATTTGGCCCAACCTGTCAAAGGATCCAAGGGGATAAGCAAAGGGGAGCCTACAACCTTGTAAAGAAGCAACTTGGAAATCTGTTCTATTTCACAGCCTCAAAGCTCTTTGTCATAAGGTTGAAACAGTAATTTCCTAAAAACAATGGACAGCAAGTGTAATCAAATAAATACCCTAACTACAAAACTATCTGAGAAATACCAATCACGTTTTTAACTTAGAGCAAGGTAACTTTCTATACTAGTCTTCAATCACTTGCAAAGTGTTGGTCTATATAATGGACTGAGTTGACTTGCTATATAAATGGTTATTAATTTCAGGCCAGAAAAACTTTGGAAAGATTCTTTAAAAGTTACAGCACAATGGGTTTACACATTTCTTTCTTTGATTACAATTAGGTGACTGGGTCAACTACTATAAGGCTACTCCTAGTTCATGACAAGAAAACTCTCTTCCCTGAATGCCTTCCTCTATGGCTAGGTGGGGGAGTTGGTGGATGGGCAGAGCACATAAATAACTCTGTGAAAAGTGACATCATATCCTTCTAAATAGACATTTCTCAAAATAAAGCATACAAATGGCCAAGAGGTATATGAAAAAACTCAACATCACTAATCATCAAGGAAACGCAAATCAAAACCACAATGAGATATCATCTTACTCTAGTTAGAATGGCTATTACTAAAAAGGCAATAAATAACAGACGCTGGTGAGGATGTGGAGAAAGGGGAACTCTTATACACTGTTGGTGGGAATGCCGATTAGAACAGCCACTATGGTAAACAGTATTGAGATTTCTCAAAAAACTAAAAATAGAACTACCATGATCCAGCAACCCTTCTACTATGTATCTGTCCAAAGGAAATGAAATCAGTATATCAAAGGGATACCTGCACTCGCATGCTCATGTGTTTACTGTAGTACTATTCGCAGTGGTAAAGATATGGAATCAACCTGTGTCCATCAATAACGAATGAATGAATGAAGAAAATGTGCTATTATATACATAATACTTTTTTATGATGTCTTTCATAAAAAAGAAAGAAATCATGTCAGTTGCATCAACATGGATGAAACTGGAGGTCATTATGTTAAAAGAAATAATCCAGGCACAGAAAGACAAAGATCATGTATTTTCACTCACATATGGGAGCTAAAGAAGTTGACCACATGGAGGGAGTAGGATGATAGATACCAGAGGCTGGGAAGGGTGTCTGGGTGGGAGAG